TTTGAAAAACTTTAAATTCATCTCGAATAGACCCGAAGCCTGCCCCAATCGCTCAAGAAGCAAATTACATCGCCATAACTGACCCAGAACAAAAGTAGTAGACTGGAATGTTCTGAAGTTGCTGAAATTGGACACGTCCCACTTGAACTTAAGCTGAGTGTACAGGAAACTCATGGGTTTCTCGTCCCTTTGAAATGTGTACAGCATCATGATGATCAATAAAAGCCACAGATGAAGCTTCTTATGATTTGGCCTGTGCTTGATCATTGTTTTCATCGTGGCTATCACGTGTTTCTTATCGAAGAAATCAGTCAACCAGTTTGCGCCAGCCAATGGTTGTTGCTGCGGTAGTGTTTGCCACTTCAGTCTTATCAGCGAGTATAAAATGGCTAGGGCCAGTAAGCTCGCGTTTATGATGAACATGATGGTGTAAGAGTAGTTAACCACGCTCGTGTAGAGATAGGATCCTAGTGCTACACCTGGAATAAGAAACGAACAATATAGAGCCTCGTTTAGATTAATCTGGGGCTTACTGTTGGTCTTATCTATCTACGAAATCTATAGAGAAATTTCAGTTCAGTTAGCTATGGAATTTTATGTCACAATAAGCTAATAGAATTTGGAGAAAAACTCTATTTTTCGTTTTTGATACACAAAAATTCATTTAGTTAGGTAATGAATCGTACGTGTCTACGCTAAAAACATGTTTGATCCCTAATCTAAAATTCCATACATATCGTCTCTTTAGAACTGGCATACTTTTCTGTCAAGATTTCATTGGAGATTGAATCCTGTGTACCTGTTGGCATAGTGGTGAGGTACAGCACGTCCAAAATAGTGATTCTCAAGGTCCTCTGTTCAACAGTGGATATGTCTGATATGTAGGCAAAGCAACTTCCAAAAATGGCCACATCTCCACCTAACATACCCATAGGAAGGCTGGCTGTGTACACCAGTGTCTCCAAGTTCCATGTGTCCATGATGGAGTTGATCACAACCATGAAAGAGTACACGAATTTCCCTAGTAACCCAAGAAGCAATGGCAACTTTCGCCCACGTCTGTCGCTCCAGTTTCCAAAAAACAACGCCAGTATTATGGGGACCACGTGGCCTGCTATGTTGTTCCATTGATGGAAGTCTGAGACCGTTACCTGAATATTTAAAATTTTTCAGCTCTGGTTGGTCAACTAAGGTGGCAAAAAAAAAAAAAAAAACGAAATATACAGAGTATCAAAATGGTAAATTTCCAAATTGGAAATTAGAATGTCTCAGAATACTTTCACAGAGGAATTATCATTTTTGGCCCAAACAAGTAGAAATCCATAGTAACTTACCATTTTAATATCCAGGAAGCAAGAATTGGAATATTTTTCCGATTAATCAGTCCAAATTATTTGTAAAAAAAAAAATCAGTGAAAAATAAAGTACGTTTTTTCATGATAATACTCGATATCATCGTGGCTTTTCCACATAATCGGATATACATATGATTTATCTCGAGTACCTGAGCAAAGGGTACACGCACTTTCATCGACAGTTTTCTCAATGACTTGCGCTATCTTTCTCTTTTTCCTATATTTTTGTTCATTTGCTGGATTAGAAAGTACCTGTACTTCTGCTTTCATGGTCTCGTTATAGTTCAGATTGGCGCAGTCTTCCTCAGAATAGCCGTGATCGACGCGGCAAGCCTTGTGGACGAAGAAAGCTTGCTCCACCACAGACGTGATCATATAGGCCATCATGTAGAGCCACATAGTCGGCTCCACAGACACTTCCTTCATCCATGTGCAACATGTTCTCTTACTCTCCTCGGACATTTCGCTTTTGCTCGATATCGGCTGAAAAGAGATGAAAATTGATAAATTCTGAATTTTTTTTTTCTAAGATCTTACAAAAAGTATTTGAAGAATTGTTATCTTCACCTAAAAGAGAG